AATTTTCAAAAAAATTTTAAATATTATATACGCATGATTCAATCTTTTAGAAAACGAAATAAAGTAAGCTTGATATATGACTAATATTTTATATTAAATAATATATATATAATTATACATTGTGTGTTTGTATTAGGGTAGATTTTTTAATCTCTTGTTGTAATATTTTCGGAAAATTGGTCTTCAATAATTTTTTACTCAAATACTATCAACTTTACAGAAAAATTGCAAGAGACAAAAATTGTTTATTTTCTTCTCATAAAGCTTTAAGAATTTTTTCAGAATTTTTTACTGCATTTTCTCATTTTTATATGAGAAAATACGGTATTAAAAAATTCTGAAAAAATTCATAGAGTTTTATGAAAAGAAAATAAACAATTTTCGTCTCTTACAGTTTTTTTGTAAAGAAGATAGCATTTGAATAACAAATTATTTAAGACCAATTTTCGGCAATTGTTAGTAATTAATAGCTTGTTAATTATTGGGAAAATTGTAAAATAGCTTAGTTTAGTCCGCTCTATCTACACAAAAGCGATAGCAAAAACTTTCGGGATCTCCTGTATATGCGTGCGTGCGTGTGTGACATTTTTATTATATAACTATATAAATTTTTCTGATAAATTTTAATAAACAGATAAAAAATGAATAAATAAATAAAAATATAACTAAATAAATAAGTAAAGAAATAAATAAGTAAATGAATAAATAAATAAATAAAATAATCAATGAATTAAGGAGATATAAATTATATAAATTATCTCGTTTTACATAAATATAAATAACAAAATATATTGTATATATATTTAGATGCTTCTTGCTGTAATCACAATTTTAATAAACCAACTCGAATGTTTCAAGCAGCTAGAAAAGATTTGCATTCAGGGAAACAATGTCATCGCACAAGTATTCGCACACTATATGATCGAGAGCGCTGGACTAGAGAAGCCAAAAACTATTGGAATGAACAAGCATATTGGAGGAACAAACAGAAGAAGAAGATTCATTATAAATTGATAATTTAAGGGATTAATAATTTAACGGATTTCTATGTTGGATTGTATGTAATTTTTAATAAAATTTTAATAAAACATTTTTAATAAAATGTTAATAAATCAATGTTAATAAATATCAATAAATGTTAATAAATGTTTATTTTTAATAAAATGTTATAAATGCTTAAAAATAAATCAGAATAAATATTGCACTTTTTTAAGGCATTGAGCGATTATTCGTTCCTTATACTTTTAAATTAATTTATTCTATTCCTCATAAAAAAGATAGGACCTTAATATTTTCTGATTTTATGTATTATGAATTACATTATCATAATACAGAATTACATTATCATAAGGAAGAAAATTTTAAGATCCTATCTTTTTTATGAGGAATGGAATATTAATTAAAAATAGGAGACTAATTGCTCAATGCCTCAAAAAGCGCAGTGTTTATTCTGATTTATTTTTGCGCATTTATACCATTGCGTTGTAACAGTATACGATTTCTGCTATTTCTGCCATTAGGTTCTAATTGATAGGTTATGATTTATTTTTGCCATATTTCTGATATCACGTAAAAGCATATTGAACACGATTTCTGCTGTGTTTCTGCTATTAGTATCTGATATGACAGGTCATGTTCTTTTTGTCATATTTCTGCCATCACATTATGGCAAGATATGTTCTATTTTTGGTGCATTTTTGTTATATTATATTTAGTCATGAAAAAAACCAAGCTTAAAGAAGATGCAGTGGAAGACGCAGGAATCTGCTCTATTTTTAATTGTGACTAAATTTGCCGACATATTGCTAGCATACTGTTAGCATTTTGCTAAT